TCATCATCATCATCATCGTCGACATCATCATCATCATCATCATCATCATCACCATCGTCATCATCATCACCATCATCATCACCATCATCATCATCATCACCATCATCATCCACCTGGTCCTCCTCCTCCTCCTCCTCCTCCTCATCATCATCATCATCATCATCATCATCCCACGCTCGGGCGCACGCTAACACACCTCGGGGCAAGCACCCCCGAAGCATCGCGCCAATGCCAGCTGATTTGGCGACGGACCGCGCCGATGTCACATAGAAATGTGACTCTAGTCATTAATCCACGCGCGCGAATCCATGTTTCCGAATTCACGATACTCCAGCCTCGCTCCCTCGTTCTCTCTTGGCGGCGCGCAGAAGAGGGCAGGAGAAAGGGGAAGGATTCTTAGAAGGAGGCTGCTTCTTAGAAGGCGCAGTCCCTTACATCTACAGACAAGGCCCGTGCCTTCTGAGAAGCACGGCGCTTCTAAGAAGGTTTCACCCGTCCCCCAACCCTAAATGAAGAAAAAAGGCAAAACATAAACTTTTGGCGCTCCGCGCAGATTTCTCGGATCTACGCTGGACCCCCCTTCCCTGGCGCGCGGAGCGCGCCAGGGGCGGAGCGCGCCAAGGGCGGCGCCGGAGGGGCCGCTGGGGGGGGGGGGGGGGGGGGGGGGGGGGGGGCCAGCGCGGATCCAAGAAATCCGCGCGGAGCGTCAAAAAAATGTATGAGCATGGTTTTTTTTCTTCTTCGATACCCCCTCTGCGCGGGGCCGATTCTGCCGCCCCGAAACCAGCTCCCCAGGACCTCTGCCACGGCCAGAGCCCTCTCCGACCAGAACCTCGAAGCGAGAGTCCGGCCGCAGCGAGGGGGGCCGGAACCGCGCGGGCCGCACGGCGTCGGCGGCCGCTCGTGCTGCGCACGCGCCGCGCGTCACGCTCGTGCTGGAGGCTTCGAGCGGCTGCGCCGCCTGCGGCCCCCCCAAAGGCTGAGCACGCGGAACGGCGAGCTCAGCGCCAGCTCGCTCTCTTGGCAGCGCTCGGGGCGCCGCGCGGGCACGGGGTGGCTGTGTCCGAGGTGCGGCGGCGGGGCTGCTGCGCGCCCAGGTGGCGCGCACAGGGCGGGTCGCTTCGACAGAGTGGTTTTCGCTTCGGCCCCCTGCGCGCAGCCGCCCCCGGAGCGCTCCAGCAGCTGCCCCAGCGGAGGGCGGGCGGTCTGCAGAGGCGCGGTTGCCGCCCCTGCACCGCGCACACCTGGTTTTTCGAGCAGGCCCGACTGCAACCTGGATGGAGGAGGCGCATGTAGAGCGACGAGACCGATACAGATATATATCTACGTGTATATATATATATATACATGACTGCATTGGCGCTGCGCGCCATGCACCTTGGTCCTTTAGAGTTTCGCACGTCAGCGGAGTGCGTGCGTGCGTACATACGCACACACACATGCGCCTATGGAAACATACTTAATATGCACATATGAATACACGTATGCATGGGTATGCACCTGTAAATGCACATGGTATGGGTAGCTATGTGTGCGCATACACATGCGTATATCAGACGATAGTGGCCTGACCAGCTGCTCCAGGCATCTCGCAACTCAAAGGTGCGAGGGTTTCAGGCGAAAGTGGCAAAACTACCATGGTCCTTCAAGTTGAGCAAGCAGGCGGGATGACAGATATGTACATAGTTGAAGAAAGCGATAACGCCTTGTTGCCGTTTTCGTGGTTGCCGATCTGACAATATCTTCTATTCCCTATATTTTCCTTCCCTCATGCTTCATTTCCCGCTCCTTCGCCGCCAACCCGAGCCGAGCCGAGATCAAGAGGAACATGAAGAGGATCAGGAGGAGGAGGGGGAGGAGGAGGAAGAGGAGGAGGAGGAGAAGCAGCAGGAGCGAAAAATACGAGCAGGAGGCTGAGAGGAGGAGCAGCAGAGAGTATACAGAGAAGGAGGAGGAACATGAGGATAACGGGAAAGAGAAGGAGGGAGACGGGGAGAAGAAGGATGGAGGAAAAGAAATATTGGAAGGCTTCTGGGGGTACCATCGAAGCTCAGTGTTGAGAGCCCTGGTGTTATGTAGCGTTGTAGGGCCTCTTGGGGGTCTTCTTCGGGACCTTGTGGATCCCTTTTAGGGCCCTGTTGGGGTTCTCTTGGGTCGTCTCGGGGCCCCTTTGGGGCGTCTTGGGGCGTCTTGGAGGCCTTTGGCCGTCGTGGGGCTCTCCTGGCGGCGTCTTGGGGCCCTCTTGGGTGCCTCTTTGGGCGCTCTTGGGGCTCTCTTGGGCCCGTCTTGGAGCCCTCTTGGGCTGTCTTGGGACTTTCTTGGATCGTTTTCGGGCTCTTTGGGTGGCCTCTTGGGCTATCTTGGGGCGATATTTGGAGCCTGTTGGGCCGGTTCGGGCTGATGTTGGCCCGAAAAAAGGAGAACCAGGAGAACCTCTGAAAACCATGCAAACATAAGTTACCCCAGTGCGACCCTACCTAGAAGTTGGAGTCCCTGGGAAAGCAGCATTAGTTGCTGTGCTATGATATGCTATACCATGCCATGCTATGCTGCGCTATGCTATGATATGCTATGGTATGTTACGATATGCTGTGATATGCTATGCTATGCTATACTGCGCTATGATATGCTATGCTATGCTATGCTATGCCATGCTATGATATACTATGATATGTTAAGCTATGTGATGTCATGCTGTGCTGTGTGATGCTAAGATATGCTATGTTATGCTATGCTAAGCTGTGATTTGCTCTGCTATGCTAAAGTGAAGGTAAGCTAGCTAAGATAAACCTGAGCTAAGATGAAGCTAAGCTGAGCTAAGATGAAATAAGCTCAGCTAAGATGAGATAAGCAACGCTAAGCTAAAGGAACGTAACTGGAGGAACCGCGGGGCGGATACTGGGGGAACCGCCCGGGGCGTGGAACACTGCCTGGCCGTTTAAGCATACCGAGTAAGAACCCTTCTAGGCAGAGCCTAGGTAGGGAATGAAATTTCCCTCTTGGGGCCCTCTTGGGAAGCCTCTTGGAGGCCTCTTGGGGCGTCTCGGGGCCCCCTTGGGCGGTCTTGGGCGGTCTTGGGGTCTCTTGGAGCGCTCCTGGGCTGTCTTGGAGCGCTCGTGGACCCCTCTTGGGGGTATCTCGGGCCGTCTGGGGCGCCTCTGGGACCGAAAATCTCGGAGAAGGCCGAAACTCGTTTGGGAGGGGGGGGGCTCCGTCCGGGGTCCCCGGCCCTATCAAAGTATAAAAATAGGAATATGTGTATGTGTATATATAGACATACATACATACATACATACATACATACATACATACATACATACATACATACATGCATACATGTATGCATGCATGCATGCATGGAAGGATGGATGGATGGATGGATTGATGGATGTGCGTTCGTGTGTGTGTGTTTGTGTGTACATGTGTATGGTTGTATGTGTGCGCATCTACGTATAATGTGTATGTGTGCATGTACGTGTGTATGTGTGCATGTCCGTACGTATGTACGTATGTATGTATGTATGTATGCTGGTACGTATGTATGTATGTATGTGTGTGGATGGATATATGCATGCATGTATGTATGCGTGTATGCATGTATGAATGTATGTGTGTATGCATGTATGTATGTATGTGTGTATGTAAGTGTGTATGCATGTATGTGTATGTATGTGTGTGTGGATATGATTGTATGCGTGTGTGTACCAGCGTGTGTATGTATGTATGTGCATGTGTATATGTGTATAAATGTATGTGCATGCGTGCATGTTGGTATGTACGTATGGATGAATGTGTGAATGTGTGTATGTGTGTATGTATGTATGTGCGCATGTATGCATGTTTGTATGTATGTATGTACGTATGTATGGGTGCATGTATGTGTACGATTGTATGGATGCGTGTGCATGTATGTATGTATGGTTGCATGCACGTATGTATGTATGTATGTAAGTATGTATGAACATTTGTATGGTTGTATGTATGCATGCATGTACGTATGTATGTATGCATGTATGCACTGCCCCCTGGCCAGGCACATTCCGAACCCAGCAGCGATGCATACGCCACGCCCTCCTGGCCTGGCCAGGAGGGCATACACACAGCTCCTGGGTTCAGGGTGGGCCTGGCCAGGGAGCAGTGGATAGGTATAGATTTCGTCGCCCGAGTATGGGGCTGCTCTGCTCCTCCTTCCCGCTGGGGATCATTTGGGGACTGGTGCAGGGCCTGGCTCAGCACCCCTCTCCCTTGGGCGCGAGGCCAGGCTCGTGCGCACAAGGACCAGCCGCTATCGCCGCCGCTGCCGTTATCGCGCTCGCCTTAGGTCGAGCATGTCCTCCTACAGGCGCATTTCGGAAGACAAATGAAATAGGTCAATAAAAAACAAAAAAAAACGTCCCCTGACTAATTTTACTATTTTTGAATTTTCCTCCTGTAGAGGGACATGCCCGACTTAATGGACGAGCTGGCCGCAGCCTTGGCGAACGCGCGGCTGTTCTGCACCGCCCCGACGGCGCGCATCCGGTTCACCGCGTGGGGGTCCTCGCGGCGTGGGGGTTAGACCCTGCCTCTTCCTCCTCATCTGTCTGCCATCCCCTTCCTCTCCCTCCATCTCTTCGTCCTCCTCCTCATCCTCCTCCCCCCATCCTGCTCCTCCACTCTTCCCCTCTTCTTCCTGGGGCTCTCCTCTCCACTCTTCTCCCCTCTTCCTCCTGCTCCTCCACTGCTCCCCCCTCTTCCTCCACTCTTCTCCCTCCAATCTCCTCCCTCCATCCTTACGCTCGCTCGGCTTCCTCTCCCCCCTCTTCCCCCTCTTCTTCCGAGGACTCCGCCTCCCCGCACTCTGGCGCTGCCGCCCGTGTATAGCCTCCCCCCCTCTCTGGAGAGAGGAGGACGGTCCAAGCTTTTGTTGAATGGTTCGAACCTCTTCGGAGGGGGGGGGGGGGGTGCTCCTCCTCCTCCTCCTCCTCCTCCTCCTCCTCCACCTCCTCCTCCTCCCCTCCTCCTCCTCCTCCTCCTCCTCCTCCTCCTCCTCCTCCTCCTCCTCCTCCTCCTCCTCCTCCTCCTCCTCCTCCTCCTCCTCCTCCTCCTCCTCCTCCTCCTCCTCCTTCCTCCTCCTCCCCTCCTCCTCCCCTCCTCCTCCTCCTCCTCCTCCTCCTCCTCCTCCTCCTCCCCTCCTCCTCCTCCTCCTCCTCCTCCTCCTCCTCCTCCTCCCCCCTCCTCCTCCTCCTCCTCCTCCTCCTCCTCCTCCGCCGCCTCCTCCTCCTCCTCCTCCTCCTCCTCCCCGCCGCCTCCTCCTCCTCCGCCGCCTCCTCCTCCTCCCTCCTCCTCCTCCTCCCTCCTCCTCCTCCTCCTCCTCCCTCCTCCTCCTCCTCCTCCTCCTCCCTCTCTCGCTCGCCGCCGAAACGATGTGGGGGGGGGGGGGGGCCTGTGGGCCCCCGAACACGGGGCCGCTGCGGCGAAAGGTCACGCCTCGACGCCCCACCGCGGCCAGCAGGCGGACCCTGGGCCGGGGAGGGCACCCCGAGCTCCGCGTGGCAGCCCAGCTCTTCCCTGGTGCGGGGAGGGCGCGCCGGGCGGCTCCTGTGTCGGAGGGCCCCTGCCCCTCCCTCCCTCTCTCCCTCCCTCGGGCGCGGGCGCGGGTCCTCCCTCCCTCCCTCCCTCCCCGCCCTCCCCCCCTCGTTCCCTCCCTCCCTCCCCCCCCCTCCTTCCCCCCGTCCCTCCCTCCCTCCCTCCCTCCCTCCCTCCCCCCCGATCCTGGCGTGTGCCTTTCTGCCCAAGCCAGGAGGGCGCGCAGTGCACCGGTCCTGGGCATGATGGTCCTGGCCAGGGTGGGTGCAGGATGACAGCTGGCGTCCTCACGACGTGAGCCCGAGAGTGAGCTATGGAGTGAAGCACACGTGTACAAAGGGCGCGTGCGTGCCCAGGCCCATACGAACACGTGTGCAGGGTCTGCGTGGCGTGCAGCGTGTAGGTGTTATGACTGTTGTGTGCCGTGCGCGTGTGTTGTGCATCTTGTGTGTGTGCCATGTATGAGTTATGCGTGGGCTGTATGTGTGTGTTCTGCGTGTTGTGTGTGCTAAGAGTGCTGTGTGTGGACATTGTGTGTTGCTTGGGTTGGGTATGTTGCGTGTTGTGAGGGTATGTGCGTGTGTTTGTATGCTATCTGCGTGTGTGTGTGTGTGTGTGCGCGTGTGAGTGCTCAGCATGTTGTAAGTGTTGTGTGTGGTGTTGTACGTGTGCTGTGTTGTGTGTGAGGTGAGTTTTGTGTGGTGTGTGTTGTGTGCGCTCTGGACGTATTATCTGTGTATGTTGCACGTCGGGGCTCGTTGTTGGGAGGATGTCTCAGGCGGAACTGCCATTTTTCTAAGAACCGTGCTGAAAAAGGGGCTCGATTCTTGGACGATGTTTCCGGCGAACCTGCAATGTTCTAAGAATCGGTTCAAAATCATTGAAATACACTGCGCTTGTTGAGCTGTTGAGCGCTTTCTGTGAACATGTTAAAAAGCCATTGTGCTTTTGGACCGAGACGTCGCGATCTGCGTGTTGGGTGCGTCCGATTGTCAGAATGCAAAGGGTGTTCCGAGCGAAGCAGCCAGAAAAAGAAGTCCCACTTCACAATCAATCGTCTCTGAGCTACACTCCCCTGGAAGGGGCGCGTATCAGAGTAGGTTGATGCGCTTATACACATACTGGAACCATCGCGCGCTTCGCGCGCGCTCCAGCTCTAGCTAGGCTGGATGGTCGAGCCCCTGGGGGCCTCTCTTCCACGACCCTTCTTCTCCCGGGCTTCCACGAACCACGAAGACGGCCCGAGTGGCTTCCAGGACTTCTTACGGTCCACCCACGACTGCTCAAGACATGCCCAAAAGGCACTTCGGGGGCCCTTTTTATACGCCGCGGCTGGACGTAGCCGGAGGAAGAGGGAGGAAAAGGGGAGCTGAAGGGGTTCCCTGGGGGAGAAGGAAGAGGAGGAGGAGGAGGAGGAGGAGGAGGAGGAGGAGGAGGAGGAGGAGGAGGAGGAGAGGGTGAAGGAGGCCGCAGAGGAGGAGGAACTGGAGGAGGAGGACGAAGAAGAGGAGGAAATATGATATTTCCGACTTTCGCAAGCGTAGCGAAGCTGCCAGGCGAACTCTTAAGACAGAACTGTTGGAATTCCAGCTTTTCTCAAGTGCCCTCGGGGCCTCTCTTGGGGCTCTGTTGGGTCTCTTTGGGGCTTCTTGGGGACATCTTGAAGCCTCCTGGGGGTCTCCAGGGGTTAAGATCTCGGGTTCTCGGTTCACGTTCCCGTTCCTGGGCCGCGGTTGGGGCCCTCCCAGGCCGTCTTGGACGTCTCGTCGGCGCGTTTGAAGCCTATTGGGCCGTCTTAGGGCGCTTTCGAAGCCTATTGGACCGTCTTGGGGCGATCCTCGGAGCCTCTTGGGGCGTTTTGCAGCGTCGGGGACAGGCGGAAACGCCAACTTCTGTATGAAAAAACACATGGACAAATAAATATGTGTTGGCCTCTTCGAGTTCTGTTGGGAGACCTCCCTTGGAAGACTCTTGGGTATCTTGGGGGCCTCTTGGGCCGTTTGGGGGCCGTCTTGGGCGTCTTGGACCATCTAATTGCTTTCGGCCCATCCAGCCACCGTGCCTGGGTTGTGGGTTAGAGGCCTCTTGGAAGTGCGTTTGAAATTTGTGGGAGCCTCTTGAAGGCAGTTTTGAAGGCCTCTTGGGGACCGTTTGGGGTGCTCTTGGGGCCTCTTTGGGGGCCTCTTTGGGGCCTCGTGGGGCGTCCAGGGGGCCTCTAGGGGGCCTCTAGGGGGCTTCTTGGGCTCTCTAGGGGGCTCTTGGGGCCTCCTGGGGCCTCTTGGGGCGGAAGGCTCGAATTGTCGGTTCATGATCCCCCTCTTAGGCCCCTCTTTTGGCGATCTTGGGCTCCTCTTGGGCCGTCTTGGGGCACTCTTGGGCCGTCTTGGGGCTCTCTTGCGCCGTCGTGGCGCCCTCTTTGGGTGCCTCGTGGGCCGTCTTGAGCTGATTTCTGGGACATCATGGGCTGTCTTGGACCGTCGGGAGCACGAAAAAGCGAGAGCACGAACGAAAACCTTCTCATTCAAACAAAAATTGATTCCGGGGAAAAACCCAATCATAATGTTTTTAGGGCTGTAGTGGGCTATAGGGCTATTGGGCTATAGGGCGATAGGGCTATAGGGCTATAGGGCACCCCCGGGCACCTGGGCATCCCCGGGCACGCCCGGGCACCCGGGCACCCGCGGGCACCCTAGCACCCGGGCACCCCCAGGCACCTGGGCACCCGGGCGTGCGGCGAAAATCGGCGGCAAACCTAACCTAACCATTTGAATCCGCTAGGCCGCTAGGACCCCTACAGAGGCAAGCTCTGATTGGGGAACTTCTACAACAAAAATATACTTTTTGCCCGCCTCCCGAGTGCCTCGTGGGAGTCCGTTTGAAATCATCTTGGCCGTCTTGAAGCCTCCTTGGGCTGTCTTCAAACCATGTGGGACCAATTGTTCAACGCTTTTGTGCAGTCTTGGGCTCTCTTGGAGCGCTCTTGGGCCATCTTGGCGCCCTCTTGGACGTCTCTCTGGCCCTCTAGTCGCCCCCATTTCCCTACTTTGACGCGTTCTGGCACCCCCGCCGGGTCCAAAACGGCCGGCAACGAAATCAGTGCAGTCTAGGGCCCCCGGACCCCCCTCCCCATTTATGTGTATATATGTGTACATACATACATACATACATACATACATACATACATACATACATACATACATACATACATACATACATGCATACATACATGCATGCATGCATGCATGCATACATACATACATACATACATACATACATACATACATACATACATACATACATTTCATATATATATATAATATATATATATATATATATATATATGAGTGCATCTCCGCCCGAATCCTCAAGGATCCAGTGGAGGGGGCTGAACGCCGTTGGACAAATTCTTGACGCTCAGTCATCTTTCTGGGCCTCCGGGTGCCTCCCGGGGTCGTGTTCCCCACCGTGGGCTCTGGTTGGGGGCTGTCTTTGGGCCCCTCGGGCCGTCCTGGGCGCCTCTGGGGCCATCGTGGGACCCTCTTGGATCGGCTGGGGGCCCTCTTGGGGGCCATCTTGGGCGGTGTTGGGGGTATATTGTGCCGTCATGGAGCGCTGGAGGCTCGAAAAGTCGAGGACCCAGAAACATTGAAAAATCAAGGAGGACATCTGGGAATCAGGATCTGTGGCATGGGCAGCCTACCGCTGATAAACAATCGGGTCCCGGCGCCACGAGGAGACCGAGCATCGCAGCTTGTCCATCGCCCAAAGCATCTAAGTGCGCCCCCTTCGGGCACATGGGCCGTCAACAAAATCGGCCCAGGATGGAGAACCAGCGGTCAAAACCCCTGGGGGGGGCCCGGGTCGCTAAAAATCGTGACGTCAGAAGAGGCACCGCACCACATCCTCCGAGAGCTCCTCCTCCCTCATCCTCCTACTCCTGGTTGGCATCCTCCTGCTCCTCATCCTCCAACTCATCCTCCCTTATCCCTTCTCCCCCATCCCTCCTCCCCTCTGCTCCCCCTTTTTCCTCCTCCTCATCCTCCTCCTCCTCCTCCTCCTCCTCCTCCTCCTCCTCCTCCTACGCCTCCTCCGCCTCCTCCTTGTCCCTGCTTTCTCCTCCTTCCTTACTCCCCCCCTCCGGCCTCGGTCCTCCTCGTGCTCCTCCTCCTCCTCCTCCTCCTCCTCCTCCTCCTCCTCCTCCTCCTCCTCCTCCTCCTTTACCTCCTCCTCCTCCTCCTCCTCCGCGTTCTCCTCCGCATACTCGTTGGTTTCATCCTCTCCTCAGCCTCTCGTCGCCCACCTTTCCCTCCTTTGACGTCGACGCGTTCTGGCACCCCCGACGGGTCCAAAACGGCCACAAGAGAAATCAGTGCACTCTGGGGCCCCCGGGAACCCCTCCCAACATGTATATATATACACACACAGACATATATAATGGGAGTTTCAAGCGCTGGGAAGTCCAAACTTGATCACGTCCGATTCCTCACTTTCCTACTGGCCCGCTTACTTCACTCAACATTGTGTGGCTATCGCCTCCCAGCTTGCTTATCGTTGCCTTCTCCTGTACTATGTTGTTTTCTGAGCCTTCGTCATGTCGGGCCGCTCTCTGGAGAGCTTTTGGAGGCGTGTTGGTCGGTCTCTTGGCGCGTCTTGGGGCCACCTTGTGCGTCTTGGAGCGGAGCTTCAACGAGTCGGATCCCTCCTGGGCCATCGCGGTGGTTTTTGGGCCCCTCCTGGCGCGACTTAGAGGGGGGCAAGTGCCCCGCCACCGGCATGGAGATCCAGAGTTTGCCCTTAGGGCCCCCTGGCCTGCACCCCGGGTATACGTATATACGTATACATATGCATATGCATATCAGCAGATATATATATATATATATAGAGAGAGAGATCATATACGTACACCTGCATATGCGGATACATATGCAGATGCAGATGCATCTACATATATATATATATATATATATGTATACACACACAGCCATGAGCATATATGCGCATGCAAATACATATACCTAAACATAAACATGAGTAGACAAATAAACATATGCAAATACATAGGATATACATACACATACACATGCATGTACACATACAAATGCAAAGGCATACACATATACCTGCACCTATAAAAATACGAATGCCCGTGCATCAGCATGTACATATGAACACACAGACACGTACACATATACATATTCACGGATATGCATGTATACGTATACATGCGCCTGCATGTACAAATAGCACTGTGAATATACATGCACTTATGCATATATATATATATGTATATATACATGAATATGCATATGTATAGCCATTTGCATGTACACAAACGCATACACCTACATGCGATATGTATATATATGCGTATACATATACTTATCAATCTGCATATACATATACGTATACACATACATCTCATATACATACACCACTGAAAGTACAGATATAGATGTGCATAAGCATACAAATAGATGTACGATAATACATATGCATACACCTATGCATGGACATATACATATGCATGTAACTAGATGTATGCATGCATAGACATATACATGTACGTATTATACATATATATGTGTGTGCGTGCGTATGTCTGACTGCATGTATACAAAAAGTATTGGGAACAATAATAATAGCCGTTTGTGCGGCCGGAGATCGTTCGAGCCGCGCCTCTCGACACAACGCAATTCATAGCAGGCAGCAAGAACTGAAACGTAGGCTTGGGGACACCATACCGGCAAGGGGGAGAATAAGGAATCTCTGGCGGCCGAAAGCGCTGCCACCCAGCCCCCAGAGAGAGGAAGTGGGGGAGGGGGGGGTCCTTGCTATTAGAGGCAAGAGAGGTATGCACACACACACCGATCCTGGGCCCAGGATGGGCCTGGCCAGGATCAGTGCACGTGCATACTTCTTTTCGCCCGAGCTGTATGGTTCTGGAGCTGAAATTACGGGGCCCGCTGGCCCACCCAGGGCCGCAAACCAGGTCACAAAGCTCCGCGCCCTCAGACCACCGACGTCACGATCGTTTGGAGGAGGAGGAGGAGGAGGAGGAGGAGGAAGAGGAGGAGTGGAGGAGGGGGAGGAGGAGGAGGAGGAGGAGGAGGAGGAGGAGGAGGAGGAGGAGAGGAGGAGTTGTATTATGCTTACTGAAGGGTGGCTTCGAGGCACAGCGCGGGGCTGCATTCGCGCCCCCCGCGGGCGGCCCAGCAGGAAATGCGGGGCGACCCCGCCCGCCGCTGGCCAGCGGCCGGCGGCCGCCCCAGCCGGCGTGCAGAGGGGCGGCCGAGTGCAGAGGGGCCCAGGCAGGCGCCCCCCCCCCCAAAAAAAACGGCACAAATCCCAGCACACCTCACCTCCTCCTCCTCTTCCTCCTCCTCCTCTCCTCCTCCTCCTCCTCCTCCTCCCCTCCTCCTCCTCCTCCTCCTTTCCCCTCCTCCTCCTCCGCCTCTCCTCCGCCCTCCTCCTCCTCCCCCTCCCCCTCCTCCTCCGTCTCCTCCTCGGCCCTCCTCTTCCCTCCTCCTCCTCCTCCCTCCTTCTCCCTCCTCCCCCCCCCCCGTTTTGCAGAGGGCCTCCCACACTCTCTGGTGGGCGGCCTCTTTGTGGTGCTCGTGCCAAGGTGCCTCTCCTGACACTGGACAGGCTCGCTCCGCGGATCGCAGAGCAACTGCTCGCAAGTGGCCTAGCAGCCTGGATCCGCCTCAATGGATGCACGATCCATGGCATCGAAGCGAACGTGTTTTTCCGGCCGCTTGCAAGTAGGCTGAGGCCGGGCATGTCCCCCTGCAGGCGGATCTGCGACGAAAAATGAAGTTGCCAACAAAAACTCAACAATAGTCAAACACAACAAATCAAATCATCCCCTGACTAGTTTTATCTGTTTCTGCATCTTCCCCCGGTAGAGGCACACGCCCGACGTAACAGTGGGCACACGGCGAGCAGTGGAGCGCGCTCGGTGCCGCCATGCCCCTCCCCACAGGATGGTACGGCAGGCGGCGCTGCCCGCCGCCAGCCGGCGAGCGGTGCCCGGCCCTGGCGGCGGGCACCCCAGAGTCTGGGGCCCAGACTTCGGTCGGGCATGTCCCCCTCCAGGCGGATTTTGGAGGAAAAATTAAACATAGTCAAAAGATACTCCGAAAGGGTCAAAAAGTAGCCGAAGAGTCGTCCCCAGAGCACGTTTGGACTATTGTTGAATGTCCCTCCTGTAGAGGGACAAGCCCGACATAACCCCAAACCCGGCGTCGACCCCCAGAGGTCCGGGGACCCCTTCCCCGGGACCGGTCATTCATCTCGAATCGTTTTTTTGGACGGTCCCAGGGCCCAGTGAGGGCCCCCAGAGGCCGAAGTTAGCGAAAAACCGCCCGTCCCGATTTCTGCACAACGCCGGGGGGTCTGGGACGGGGGCGGGCCCAGGGACGGGTCCTCGCCGTGGATGGTCTTGTTCAGGGTGTCGAACGCCGACACGTCGCACCAGCCTGCGCCGTAGCGAATGAAGAACAGCTGCTCGGGGGAGTACTTTTCCAGACCTCGGCGCCCAGGTCTGGTGGCGGGGGCCGCTCGCGCGCCGCCCGATCTCGCGCGAGCGGGGCGGGCGCCGGACCACGCCTTTCGAGCGCCGCGCCCGCGCCTCGGCGCCCAGTGGGGCCAATCGCGCGCCATCTGGAGAAACCGCAAGACACAGGGACCGCTGCAGCCAACCCAGATCCGAAGGACGCACGATGAGGACGCCAGGGCCTTGGACGCCCAGCTCGAAGCTTTTCGAGCGGGGCGCGGCCAACGAAAGCGGCCAAGGATGGACCGAGGAGGCAAGGATGCAAGGCTGCCCTTGGGAAGGTTGCCCATCCTTCCCGTGCGGGTTGACTGCACTCCCAGAACCTCCCCTGCAGTGCGATCTGACCAGAATCCCGCCAGCCCTCTGGGCGACAGGCGGTCTAAGGAGATCTTTCTTTCCTCTTCCAACAGAACCCCTCTTCCCCTTTCGGAGAAGGGTTTATCACTGTTCCCTATTAATAAACACCCCCTCCCCCAGGCGACCGGGGGCCAACCCAGGTCCATGACGACACCCCCCCACCACCCCTTGTAAAAAAACAATACAAAACACACTCTGCCTCCAAATTCGGAACATGCGCAGCCAATCCGATGCGGCCCCCCCCCCACCATCCCTGTCAAAGAACAATACAGAATACACTTGGCGGCGGCGGCGGCTGCGGCGGCTGCGGCGGCGGCGGCTGCGGCGGCTGCGGCGGCGGCTGCGGCGGCGGAGGCGGCGGCGGCGGCGGGGCGGCGGCGGCGGCGGCGGCGGCGGCGGTGGCGGTGGCGGCAGCGGCTGCGGCGGCGGCGGCGGTTTGGCAGCGGGGGGCGGCGGCGGCGGCGGCGGCGGCGGCGGCGGCGGCGGCGGCGGCGGATTGGTCCTCAGTAGCTGCCAATCCAAAGACGACTGTTGAATATGCTGAGGCTCGGGCCCGACTCGGGTGCTGCGTATGTGTTGGGAGGGCGGGTGGGAGTGAGCGAGACGGCTTGCGGGCGGGGAGGGGGTCTTGACCCCTCCCCCTGGACCTGGACAGGGGGGGGCGCGAGGGTTAGAGCGCCGAAGATAGCCTAAGATGGCTGCAAGAGGGCCTGCAAGATCGCTCAAGATAGCCCAACATGGCTCAAGATAGCTAACAACATGCCTCCAAGAGGCCCCAAGAAAGCCACAAAGACGGATCTAAGTGCTTTTGGAGACCCCTCAAGACCTCCCCGAGAAACCAAAATCCTTCCGAAAACGTACGGAAAACGAATGATTTGGGCCTTTTCGCCTTTTCGCTTCCGATGCGCTTTTGAGGCCTCAATGTGGCCCCAAGATGGCTCAAGAGAGCTCCAAGACGGCCCCAAGAGCGCCCAAGATCGCCCCAAGAGGGCCCCAAGAGCGCCCCAAGAGGCTATTTCGATGGCACTAGAGGGGCGACGAAAATCTAGGACCCCCCCTCCTTTGATCGATGGTCACCTAGATAGCCCCAGGAGGCGCTCCATTGCTCCCAAGAGGGCCCCAAGAGAGCCTCGAGAGAGCCCTAAGAGGGCCCCATGAGGGCCCCAAGGCGCCCCAGAAGAGCCCCAAGAGAACCCCCAAGACCTCCCAAAGTGCCCCAAGAGGGCCCAAGATGCCCCAAAAGAGCCCCAAGAGGATCCCAAGACGCCCCCAAAAAGCCCCATAGCTCCAACAAGGCCTCCGATATTCCAAGATAGTCTCCAACATGGCTCAACACGCTCCTCCCCCTCCTCTCTTTGACCGCTCTGCTTCACTATATGCGTCTCTGCTTTGCATTTTCCGTCAGCTCTCGCGGGCAGGGCTTCTGAATGGGCTGGCGGGGATTCGCGAAGCGTAAACAATTTCGGAGCAAGTCCAGCGGTGACGACGAGGGCCTCCCAGGAGACCCCAAGGGGAAAATGAGGGGAAGGGTTGTAGTACAGCTACCTCTTCCTCCTCCGACGATTGGTCGCGCGCGCCTGGCGAGGCGGCTGGTCGCCGCGCTCGTCTCAAGCAGAGGGCAACCGCACCACCACCACCACGGCCACCATGCCTGGCCAGCACCGTCCTGGGCGGCCCTGGCACGGGGTACGCTCGAAGCCCGCGGGCGCCAGGCGGTCCACGACAGTCGGACGCCGGTCAGCAAGCGGTGGGGCTCGTCTGCACGTAACGAGTGGCCCTGGGCAAGAGTGGCCTGCGGTGCGCGGCTCCTGGCGGGCGCGGGGGAGCCACACCCACGGGCGCAGGCCGCTGATATCGCATCGCGCTCAGCGACCAGGGGGGGGGGCGATGATGAGCCCGCACCGAGGGTCGCTCCGACGAAGGGTCACTCTCACGCGTAGTCGGGGGGTGCACCGGGAGCGAAGGAGGGCACGAAGGCGACGAGGAAGCGAAAGCGAGGAGGGAAGAGGGAGGAGCCCGCTCAGGCCAGGAAGGCCGGCCTCGTGGCCGAGGCCAGGAGGGTCTGCAGGCCGTCCTCTCCTGCGGAGCGTCCTCGCGAGCGCGACCGCACGAGTTGCCCGAGCGGGGCGGGCTGTGATCGCCGGTCGCGCGGCGGACAGGCGCTGGGCTCTGGGCCCTTGAGCCTCGGCTCCTGGCCGTTGCGGGAGGCCCACGTCTTGTATGCCATGAAGGCCAGGCCGAGGCCACCCGAGTCGGCGATGTTCTCACCGAGGCACTTCTTGCCGTCGTCGAAGACCTGTTGTCTCATGTCCGTCGAGCCATCTCCTCGGTCGCCGCGGATTGGCCAGCTGGAGTACTGCTTGATGAAGCACGCCTGTTGCTCGTGGAACTTCTTCTTGGCCGAGTCCGTCCACCAGTCAAGAACGTTACCCCAGGGGCCTCGCTGGGCGCCGTTGGAGTCGAAGCCGTGGGACAGCTCGTGACCATAGACGGCGCCCAGGAAACCGAAATTGAAAGACATGGGCCTCTTCTCATCGAACTGTGGCTTCTGGAGGAAGGCCGCAAAGCCGACAATGTCGTTCGCTTCCTGGTTGTACACCATATTCATGACAGTCGGATCCAGCACCCACATGCTTTCCCAGTCCTTGGGGGAATCCACGCGAGCAACAGCCCGTTGAAGCATGTAGAACTTCGTATGCCACACCATCTCGGCAAATTTCATACCGTTGTCGAAGGCAAGAGCGAAGCTGTAGAAATGCAGGAGGTTGGAGTTCTCGAAAAGCCATGAGGGCCACCCGATCTTGACACGAATGTGCCTGAGCTTCAGCTTCGCCGCCTTCTTGGTCTCCGCGTCGATCCTCAAGAGCGACGGGCATTTCCGTATCACACAGGCGTGCCCCTGCAGTCTGGACATCGAGGCGCGCTCCCGTTGACACGCGATGCCATAGGTACGCTCCGTCTGGGGCATCCGCGCAAAGGCGCCCTGCGTCCGTGGGGCCGCGCGCCCGAAGAGTCCCGGCCGCGAGGCGGCTGCTGCGGAGATGTTTCCCGCCCACGGTGTCTCCATGGCAGCTGGTCCAGGTTCGTGGAGAAGGCCTCGACGACCTGCCACGCAATCTCCTCTGCCTCGTTGCGCCCGTTCGCGGTCAGCACCTTCTCGGCGAACTTGCGGCCGATCAGCCAGGGGAACATGTCCTTGATTACGGCCGTGCACTGGGGGGGGCCCCCCTGAGGGGGCATGAACTTCCCATGGTTTGCCATGAGGCCAACAATCCGTCAACCCCTACTCGCCAGGGGGTGCAAGGCGGTTGGAATGGTTTGGCTATTCCCCACCCTGCTTCACACTTCTCCAGGGCTCCGTAAACTGGACGCGACCCCCAATGTGAAGCCTTATGTGATGATAGACAGACTGTAGACACGCAACAGACCATGCTGCAGAAGAGATGATGACTATAATGAGCTAGCTATGCACAACGAAATACGCTTGCAAATCGCATACAAGTGTTACATGTTACGGTACTGCTTTGCTTCAATGCAACTTCGAAACAAATGCCTTTTTGATGAAATGCAGTGCACAGAGTTGCCTTGCTGTCCCTTGCGCCGAATCGTTTTGATATGCGTGGCAACCAGCGGAAACCAGATGCGTAGTGCACTGATTTGCTTCGCGTAGCACTTTGCTGCTCGGCTTCGCCCTGCATCTCTGCTCTTTGCGGCGCATTCGTCTGCTCTACCCTGCGTGTCACCGACCTGCTACGCTCCGCGTTGCACTGCACGCTCTGCAGTGCGCATCGCGCTGCTGCTCACAGTGGGAAGATTCCTCGAGGGACGATACGCAGGGGCTTAGACTGGAAGAAAACGAGGACCATGACCAAGACTGCGCGCGGAAGCGTGGGTGTCGATCTTGGTCATCGTCCATCTTGGCCCTCGCCAACTCGTGGATCATCCTCGCGATTCGCGGCGGCCGGCGTGGGCCATGACCAAGATCGGCGTCGACAAGATCCCTGGACATTTTGGTCATGGTCAGCGTGTTTCTTCCCTCAATGGGAGTGGGGGGCGGAAACTTCGGCGGTAACTCATGGGAGCCTCTCATATCATCTTGTTGACCCTTGCGAATCGAAGCTAATCGACGCTAATCGACGCTGAATCGAAGCTCTTCGACGCTAATCGGCGCTGAATCCGCGCTATCTCCGCCTCCTCGTCCTCGTCCTCCGCCTCCTCCTCCTCCGCATCCTCCTCCTTCTCGACCCTCGCTCCTCGCTCCTAGCTCCTCTCTCCTCTCTCCTCTCTCCTCTCTCCTCTCTCCTCTGTTCTCTCTCCTCTCTCCTCTCTCATATTTCCTCTCTCCTCTATCATCTTTCCTCTCTCCTCCTCCTCTCTCCTCTCCCCTCGCTACTCGTTCCTCTCTCCTCGCTCCTCTCTCCTCTCTCCACTCTCATAGTTCCTCCTCCTCCTCCTCCACCTCCTCCTCCTCACTCCTCCTCATCTTCCTCCTCCTCCGCCTCCTCCTCCTCCTCTTCCTCCTCCTCCTCCGCTTCCTCCTTCTACTCCTCCTCTTCGTCCTCCTCCTCCTCCTCCTCCTCCTCCTCCTCCTCCTC